TATTAATGAAAAACTGAGAGTCTGTAGTAATTCTGTATATTAGTAGGACTAATGGGAATGACAAAAGCCATTACATAGAAAATTTGGAATTGATTTTTTACTTTTCATCCAGAATTATATTTTTTTAGGTCTAATGTGCTTTTCACATTAATCTATTTTGACAGCAAAAAAAAAATGATCATGATGCTGAAGATGCTGTGCTGGTAAAGTTGGTGTACTGTGAGGATGATGTGGGGAGAAGATGCTGTGGTGTGAACATTTGTTTGTTTTGATGATGGTTTGGTGTGATAACAATATCAGGCGATAATGGAATTACATGTGTCAGAAACCCTTACTGAAACAAATTTTACTGCAGAGTGGTTTTAGAGGACCAGGATCTTAATAATGAGTTTTCTGAATTGGTTGTGGGTTTTCTGAAATGTGAGTAGATTGAAAGGCACTAATGATTCTATTTCCAGTGGTAAAGAGGGCATTGGTAGCCTATGGCATGGTATGGCAATTGAGATGCACAAAACATTGTCATTGGATGCTTCTAACAAAATACCTATAGAAAGTGAGGCTCTGGGTGACCATGCATTTAATATTTTAGAACATTCTAGTCAAGCTAAGGAGTGTAATTGGGGTTGTCTAGTTGCTACTTTAAGTACACTGGCAAAAGAGCGGGAACAAAAGGATGAAGATGGAGCTTCAATTCCCAGCAGCTAGCTCTGTGTAACTTATCGGAAAGCCTTTACATCTGCCCTGAAATCAACCCCTATCTCCTGCTGTTGTAGAGCCAACGTTTCTGAAAACCAAACCCAGAGTGCCATCTTGTGTGTGGCTGAATTACAACACCAATCAAATTTCCAAATTTTCAGAATGTCTTCAGGTGTCTTTCGTGATGTTAAAGTGAGGGTATTGATTGGAAAGAAGTGGGATCCTGTAAACTGGAATAAAATCACTGGACAGATCCCAATGAAGCTGGGACACTGAACCCCTAAATTCTACCAATATTTACTTATCAGTAGAAGCAGTCCTTCTACACCTGGCTAAAAATGTCAGCCCTGCTTTCCCTGCAGAATCTGTGATGGCCTCACTGAGGTAGTTGCCTTGAAAGATAATGATGATTGTCATGACCACACCTCTTATCCCCCCCTTGCTTCTACACACATAACCAACCTCAAGATCCATCAGACCTGACAGGTGTGGTACAAAGTGTGACCCATGGCGAGGTGTGCTATACTCCAAAAGAATTGCATGATTTTTCCAATTTAAACAAACAGAAATCCAGGAGATATGTGTGGGAATGGGTTTTAGGATGTAAGATAATGCTGGCAGGAACATAAAATTGGATCAGGCCAAGGTTATTGGCATGGGTCCACTAAGCAGAGATCCTGGATGTATTAGTTTTCATGAGAAATATATCTGACACAAATTTAGGGACCTTCTACCTCAGTGAGATGTCTAGGGCACACACAGGGTGTGGGATAGGTTGAGATATCCCTTCTAGAGAAAAAATACGTTGAATCTCTGCTCCTCCTCCAAAAAAGAGGTACAACACTGAGTGGTCCTCTTTGGATTTTAGAGGGAATATATCCTTCATTTGGGTGTGCTACTCTGGCCCATTTACTTAGTGACTCAACAACTGTAGTTTTGAGTGGATCCCAGAAAAAGAGAATTCCTCAATGAGTTCAGATTGTCATGCAAGCTGTTCTGCCCCTTGAGCCATATGACCCAGCACATCCAATGGGGCTTAAAGTGTCAGTAGCAGAGAGAGACATTTTTTGGAGAGTTAACATGAATCACGTATTAGGATTTTGGAGCAAAGCCTTGCCATACTCTACAAATAACTGCTCTCTTTTAGCTTGCTACTGAACCTTAATGAAGACTGAACACTTGACCATAAGTCACTCGAGCTGCCCGACATGAAATGAGTGCTGTCTAACCCACCCATCCATAAAAGCTGGGCCCATCCTGAAACACCCTATCACCAAATGGAAATGACATATAAGTAGCTGAGCCCAAGCAGGTCCTGAAGATACAAGTACATTACATGAAGAAGTGCCCCCAATGTCCATGGCTCTTGTTGCTGCTCTTGTTTCCTCCCCGCATGAGCCCATCCCTCATGGAAGTTCCCTATGATCCAGTTGCTGTAGAATCGACATAGATAAGAAAAAATTTTATTTTTTCAATTTCTCTTGCTTTTCTGATTTTAGATGGAGGTGAAAAACTTAATCTTGGGGAGAATGTGGCTGTGGAGGACAAATATACATTTCAAGTTTAGAATTATACTAAATTCCCAACATGCTTTCATCTGTAAGTTATTCTTTGTTCCCACCAATTGTCATCAAAAAGTTGTCTTGCAAATGGTTTTCAAGTATCACTAGGCCAATAGTAACTGAACTAAAATATCTAAATTTATAACCACAACTTATTTTTTCCTTTAAATATTTTTATCCTAGGCTTTTCCATTTTTTACTTTCTCATTCCAATTCCCTTGGCTGATACAAATATGTTCCTCTAGAAAATATTCAGGCAATTCTATAATATACAACACATGCCCTAGCCAGTTTTGCTCAGTGGATAGAGCATTGGCCTGGGGACTCAAAGGTCCCAGGTTTGATTCCAGTCAAGGGCACATGCCTGGGTTGCAGGCTTGTTCCCCAGTAGGAGGCTTGCAGGAGGCAGCCGATAAATGATTCTCATCATTAGTGTTTCTATCTCTCTCTCCCTCTCCCTTCCTCTCTGAAATCAATAAAAATATATTTTATATATATATATATATAATATACAACACATTATTCAGATTCATGAAGTCATTTGTTCACTTATTTATTCATCCCTCAAGTAGTTACCAAGTACATATTGTGCAAAGGATTATGCTACATTATTCAGTGTGTCAGGCCCTCATAATGACCAAAACTAATTCATAGCTTGTGGCAAAAATTAATAATAAAAAGAGAAAAAAAAAGCCTTTGCCCTGATTTACCTAATTAAGTGTTTGCATGCAGGTAAACCTTTGATATTTCTTCTCCTCCAAATTCAAGTTAATAGGCTAAGCAGATTTTCAAGCTGTCCTTGGGTTTCTCCCTACAGTAAACACACACACACACACACACACACACACACACACACACACACACACACACTCCACACGCTCTTAACTCACTTTTTCTTAGAAATTCATATGCTTGAAATTAACTCAGACACTCAGTGACAGACCATTTTGAATGTATATATTATAATGTTGGCTGTCAGTAATCAATCATTTGCATAAAAACCAGTGGTGCATCCTTCCCATTTTTATCCTTTAAAAAATATTGAAAGGAGGAGTAGCAGTCAAATTTCCAGAGAAGTCTAACTTTGCTACCACAAGTCATATGCTACCAAAATCCAGTCATGAATCCTTTTTCCTCTGGCAGAAAAGACTAACTCAAAACAAGGCTCTGAAAAGGGTCTCCGTCAGACGATATTGACCATGAAGAAGCTACCCTGAAGCCTACAATAGTGCCATGCTCAGAGTCATAACACAAATGCTATCTTAGAAATACTCTACCCTCCTCACCCCGCCCCCAGTGGGATTCTAGAGATTGTTATCCTGCAATATTCTGCATTCCATGCTATAGAGGGCTGTGTTACAGCCAAATTCCAGAGCATGACCACTGCCACAACGCAAATGTTTACGCCACCTCAAAATGTCATATCAACATGACCTTAGAGAGGAGGTATTTGTTTGTGTGACTCCTCAGAGCAGGACCATCTTTGAGGCTGGGACATTATGAGTTTTTCGTAAATATGAAACCAATAGAAGAGGAAAGGAGTAAATTAGGTCCCAAACAAACAAAAAAGAATAAAAAAGAAAAGGAAGGAAGAAAGAAAAAGAAGAAAAGAAAAAGATGACAATAATCAGACTAACACACCTATTCAGTACTTAATGTGTATTAAGCAATAGCCTAGATTCTAGATGCTTATGAATTAATTCATTTGGTCTATGTGTTATCCTACAAATAGGTACTGTCATTATCACCTTCATTTTTAAATCATGAATCTGGACACAGAAAAGTAGCTTTCTAATTTTCAGTTAGAAAATTTTCTTCATGAGATTTTAACTCAGAAAATCTCAGTTCAGAACCTGCAGATTCAAATGCCGCCGTACTCTACAACCTCTCAACGAAAACCAATAACAACAAAACGAAGTGGAAAGGGTAAAGAATTAGAAGAATTTATTCAATAAACTTTTTATTCTATAAATATTTATTGAGCTGGAAAGACAATGTTTATCAGCTGTTGGAGATGACAAAGCTCTTCTTTTCAGAGACCTCACAATTGGCTGAGAGTTAAAGGAAAGAAACAGAACATGAATGAATGCAACAGAGTCTACGAACTATAGGGGGATTTATGCTGTGCACAGCTTCAGGTGTACACATGAGAAGGCACTCTCTCTGCCCAGGGAGGAGGTGATGGTGTTGATGGCTCTCCAGGAAATAATGCCTGGATTGGCTCAGTGAACCAACTCTGGCAGAAGTGAGAAGTGTTGGTTCGGAGAAGATGAGGCCTAAGAGGGGCAAAGTTAGATCCTGTTGTGACACAGCATGTATGTTCTGATGAAGGTGGGAAGAGCATTGGCAATTAAGTTAGAGAGAATGGGACAAACTGAGTTTACGTTTGGAGAGAGAATTGCTAAGAGCTGTTCAACAACTAGTTGCTGTTAGGGAGACATGACATGAGAGCTGACTCCCAGTTTTCTTGCTTGGGCAGAGATAGCTGCCTCTCATCTGCCACCAATAAATGCAAAGAGAAAACATAGGAAGATGGACAACTCAGGGGACTTAAAGGAGAGGAGATAATATAAAAATAACAAGTTCTTGAGTTTGAAATCGCCACAAGACTTCTAGGTCAACATGTCTTGGGAGCCTCGTGATCAGAGGATACAGATTGGACAAACCTGAATACATTGGCAGCAGTTCAATCCCTCCGGGTGGAAGGATTGCTGAGGGAATGCAATTAATGGCAGAAGGATAATGGAGGAAGAAACCCTGGAAGATACCAACAGTGGGATGAGGTACCTGAAGAAGAAAGAGCCTGAAAAGGAGTCACAATTTGAAGAGAGAATCAACCATTCAAGTCAAGGGAAAAGCATTTCCAATGAAAAGAGATCAGTAATTATGTCATATTTCACAAAGTTACCCCATAGAATACATAATGAAAAGCATAGAATTGGACTGGTAGGAGATCATTAGGATCTAGTGCCTGCGTGGAGGGCTCTTAAGGAGAAAGGGTGCCTTTATCCATCAGAGAGGAGAGGAAGATGGAAGAATAAAGAGGATAAAGATGAAATGCCACCAGTGTTTTCTACGGAAGGCAGAAGTTGAATGCTAATCTGTGAATTAGGTAGTGAGATTGGATTCTGAAATGACAATAAAAATCTATAATAGTGGGCAATAGTTGAAACATCCACTGATGGAACGGGAGCAATTACAAAGGTGCTGAATGGCAAAGATGTTCCTGCTGAGGCTGAGAAAGACCAATTTTCAGTAACAGATCTGCATTCTGACTGCCTCAGTAACCACCCTCCCCACCCAGGAGGAATGCAGGAAGGTGTGATTAGAGAGTAAGGTATTGGATTTTAAGTATTCAAAAGTGGATATGAATGCTCAAATTAAGGAAAAGAATTAGTGAAAAATGTCTATTTCCTGGTGATCATTTGTCGCATTAAACATTTGATTGCCTATGCTGTGTTCTCTGGAGGATAATTAACTAATTCTAAGTATTTATTGAGCACCTACTATGTGCTCAGCACTCTGTGAGGCACCAAACATTCGAAGCGATATCTTCCCTACTCTCAAGGTGCTTATAATCTGATGGGGGAATCCCATAAGAAAACTACACGGCCAAAACAGCTGGGTAGAGAGGCTCTGATAAAAGCATTACCGGAGGAAATAGGTTTTTTGGTCTCATAAGAAAAGCATTTCAGGGAAACTAATGAAGGAGGATTTGAGAGGTAGTGGCAAGATTTATTAGAGCACCCTTGAAAAAGCTGCTGCAATCCAGGAACTTCCCTGTGGGTTCAGCAGCAGAAGCTCATTGACGTTGTCAATCTGCCCGCAGATACACCACGCCCAATGTCTCATCCACACCGGGTAGTTCAGCTACAGCTGGCTATGGAAGAAGTCCAGCTTCCAGGGCTGAAGACCCACACATATGCCCACCAGGTCCAGGAGGGTCAGGGCCCAGAGCTGCAATGAGGCACCTGAGGCTCCTGAGGCTCCCCTGGCACCTGAGGCTCCACTAGTCCAGCTCAGTCCCTGCTCCCCACTGGCATCAATATTCTTAGCTGTGTGACATTGGGCAAGTTACTTAACTTCCCTGTGCCCTTGGGATGATCACTATAGAAGAACTCCAGAGATGTGAAGACAATGCAAGGAGTAAGTGAAATTCCTCAGCAGATGCTATGAGCATTGAGGTGATGCTATTCCTTGTATTAGCAGTTTGGTCCTGCTGAGCTGTGGCAGCTGGGAAGCATCTGAAGCAGCTGGGGAGAGCTCCTCTGCTTGGAGACCAGGTGCATGCGCGCCTATATAACAGGTCAACGACACTTTCCAACCCCAAAATGGGAAAGGGAAGCCTTAAAGATATAGTGTGGATGTAATATATTTTTATTTCCTGGACATTTTTGTGGCTTCTAGAGGCAACAAGTTACAATATATAAAATTAGGCCTGCCCTGCCCTTGTATTTATATGGGACTTTCCCAAGTTTTTCCCAAGTACTCCAGAGGAGGAAGATGGTCAAAAGTGGTCCCTGCCCTCTACTCTCCTTCCATCCTCTCAGCTGTGAGGCCCAGAGGAACCGGCGTTTGCTTTTGCGCACCGATGAGGTGGTGTGAACACTGTGTCAGTGTGGGAGGACGTGGAGAGCTGAACCTTAGCAGGAAACGTAAGTCGTGAGCTCCTGGAGCTCCATGTTAATGTTCTTTAAAATGATTACATTGTCACTTTGGATTGTGTTGGTTGGTGGAGCTTTTAAAATAACTAGGTTCAAAATGAAATAAGTTTTATAATGAAATACCAGTGAATTATTCTTACAGAGAAAAATTATAGATATAAATAAAATCCTAAATTATCTCAGTCATCTCTGACCTGGCAGTCCTGAATACTACTTATCATGGTGTCCATTTTAAATGTTTTAAAATAAATATTTAAAAAAAAATTTCCATTGAATATGTCTTTCTCTTATAATCATAAAAAACAATATGTTAAAAATAATATTGTATTTCCTACCAAATTTTCCTCTCTGTGTTTTATTGCTAAGTCTCTATTCCCTATAATGGATGTCAGAGGTAGACTCGCTTAACTTAGCAAACATTGTCTCCTGCATGGCCCAGATCAGATCTGCTCTGTCCGGTCACCTGTGAGGTCTCTGTGACTCTATTTTCCATAGAGGCTGAGTCTTGGAACTTCTACAGGCCAAGATTTATGTGGCCATAAGTGAAACAGTTCTTCTGGAATGAATAAGATCTAAAAGTTTAGAAATCCTCAGGCTATTCTCTAAACAAAGATGTGGGAAACTATTAATGTTTATATTGAAGATTCCCAAGTGGTGGTTTTCTTTCTTTTCTTTTTTCTTTTTTTTTTTTGTCATTGTAGGCTATGAATGGCTATGTCCTCTGCAATCCCTATGCAGTGGCCTCTGGGCAGGATGGCTCTAGCTTGGAATGTGGATGTGGAGAGAATGGAGAGGTAGCTTACCTAGTTTAGTCATAAAAAAAGCCAAATATTTTCTCTCTCTCTCTCTCTCTCTCTCTCTCTCTCTCTCTCTCTCTCTCTCTCTTTCACACACACACACACACACACACACTCTCTCACACACACATCTTCTCAATACTGGTTATAAAATAGCAGTTGTGAAGAACCAGAGGGAAGAAGAAAGAAAGTAAGTTTATCCTTAATCTAGGCTGACTTGTTCATTAGGCATGATGAGAACAATGCCCAGGGCCCACAATACTTTTATGAGAGCATGAAAATGTTTTAGTTTCTGTTAAAATCAGAAAAAAAAAATGAAACTTTAAATTGAAGGAAATATTTTAATATACTACCTTCATCTTGATACCAATGAAGCCATAAACTGTAATTATCAGTGTTTGTTGTTGTTTGGTGGAAGTTGCTCAGAAAGGCAAAGGGACAGGACTCTCAAATGTCATAATGTGGCCCTCACATCTGTGTCCATTCGGTGGGCAGTTGAGACACTTTGAAGACAGTATCTCAGCTCAGACAGTTTCAGAAACAGGAAGCTCATAAAACCAGGATCTTGGGTTTCTTGCCTAAAGAATTCAGTTTAACTTTTTTCAAAGAAAAAATATTCCATAGCATCCAAGCCATCTATCAAATGCATTACTTGATCCCAAAGTCAGAGTGGACATGGAAAAAAACTGAATGGTTCAATGCAAGCTCATTGTCACTACTGAGGAAAACGACTAGGAACTCCATGTACTTTTTAAAATTAACTTACAGTAGCATTCACTATGTAAACAAACAACATGAATCTCTGTGGTTTGAAAAAACAACAACATTTATTAGCTCAATTTTGTGGGTGAGAATTTGGAGAGGACCTCAGTGAGGCGGATCTGCTGATGGTATCACCTGGGCTCATTGCAGTCAGTTGGCACCTTGGCTGGGGCAGGAGGCTTCACTTGCAGCTGGCAATCCTCAGGCTGCTAGAGGGGGCACTTGGATCCCCTCCAATGACTAGACTAAGCTTCCATGATGGAATCAAACTCTGCTTCTGTCACATTCACCAAGTCCAATGGCCAAAGCAAATCACATGTTCAAGAACAGATTCAAAGGATGGAAAATAAACTTTATTTCTTTCTTTTAAATTCTTTATTGTATAAAGTATTACATAGGTCTCCTTTTTCCCCCATAGACCTCTCCCCGGCCATTCCTACTCCCTGCATATGCCATCACCCCCCTACTGTCTGTGTCCATGGGTTATACTTATATACATGCATGCAAGTCCTTTGGTTGCTCTCTTACCACCCCCTCCCCTGCCTTTCCTCTGAGGTTGGATGATCTGTTCGATGCATCTCTGTCTCTGGATCTATTTTTGTTCATCAGTTTATGATGTTCATTATATTTCACAAATGAGTGAGATCATGTGGTATTTATCTTTCACGGACTGGCTTATTTCGCTTAGCACAATGCTCTCCAGGTCCATATGTGCTATTGCAAATGGTAAGAGTTCCTTCTTTTTTATATCAGCGTAGTATTGCATTGTGTAGATGTACCACAGTTTTTTAATCCACTCATCTACTGATGGGTACTTAGGCTGTTTCCAAATATTAGCTATTGTAAATTTGGCTTCTATGAACATAGGGGTGCATATGTCCTTTCTGATTGGTGTTTCTGATTTCTTGGGATATATTCCTAGAAGCAGTATTACTGGGTCTAATGGGAGTTCCATTTTTAATTTTTTGAGGACCCTCCAAACTGTTTTCCACAGTGGCTGCACCAGTCTGCAGTCCCATCAGCAGTGCAGGAGGGTTCCTTTTTCTCCACATCCTCTCCAGCACTTGTTGTTCATCGATTTGTTAATGATAGCCATTCTGACAGATGTGCAATGATACCTCATTGTCGTTTTGATTTTCATCTCTCATGTGATTAGTGACTTTGAGTATGTTTTCATATGTCTCTTGGCCTTTTGTATGTCCTCTTTCAAAAAGTGTGTATTTAGGTCCTTTGCCCATTTTTTGATTGGATTGTTTAACTTCCTTTTGTTAAATTGTATGAGTTCCCTATAAATTTTGGAGATTAAACCCTTGTCGGATATAACATTGGCAGATATGTTCTCCCATGCAGTGGGTTTTCTTGTTGTTTTGTTGATGGTTTCTTTTGCTGTGCAGAAGCTTTTTATTTTGATGTAGTCCCATTTGTTTATTTTCTCCTTAGTTTCCATTGTCCTAGGAACTGTATCGGTAAAGATATTACTACGACATATGTCTGATATTTTATTGCCTATGTATTGTTCTAAGATTTTTATGTTTTCCTGTCTTACATTTAAGTCCTTTATCCATTTTGAGTTTATTTTTGTGTATGGTGTAAGTTGGTGGTCTAGTTTCATTTTTTTTGCATGTATCTGTCCAATTTTCCCAACACCACTTATTGAAGAGACTGTCTTGACTCCATTGTATACTCTTGCCTCCTTTGTCAAATATTAATTGAACATAATGGCTTGGGTCGATTTCTGGGTTCTCTGTTCTGTTCTATTGGTCTATATGTCTGTTTGTGTCAGTACCAGGCAATTTTGAGAACAGTGGCCTTGTAGTATAGCTTGATATCTGGTATTGTGATCCCTCCAACTTTGTTCTTCTTTCTCAGGATTGCTGTGGCTATTTGGGTGTTTTTTTTTTTTTTATACCAGGTGAATTTTGGGGGACTTTGTTCTAGGTCTGTGAAATATACCATTGGTATTTTAATGGGGAGTGCATTGAATCTATAGATTGCTTTGGGTAGTATGGACATTTTAATGATGTTGATTCTACCAATCCATAGACTTTACTTCTTGATGGGAATAGCTGCAGTCACTTTGCAAGGGGCACCTTCTTTTGGCACCTCTTCCTTCAAAATCTTCATATTAGTACTAGTATTTCTGCCATTTCACCTCCTTTTGAAATTTTATGTTCAGATGATTGGTTTTACAGTTTATTCTAAAGCTTAGTTTGGTGTCTGGAAAGGGACAAATGGAGATGCAATTGAAATAAGCCCAATATTTTATTTAAAACAACATTTTATGATATATTTTTTTTTGGTGTTTATAGTATAGTGTGGTTGAATAAGCATGATTTTATATTTATATATATTCAGAGCAGTCTGAATTCATAGCACAGCTTTGCTACATACTGTGTGACCATGGGAAAGTTGCTTAATCACTCTGGGCACCACTTTCCTCCTCTGTGAAATAGACAATAAACTTCACACTCAGGGTTGTTGGAGAAGGAGGCACAAGTACATAGCTAGCCAAGCATCGGTAGGAACCTAACAATTGTCAGTGTTGAGATGATAATGATTAAAAGACAAAGTTTCCACCCTAATATTGTCAACCTGTATCTTACTAAAAACATTTGCTTGAATTATATTTAAACAATATGTAACCTTAGGACATCACCAAGCATTCAATATACCACCTAGAAGAAGGCCTTGAACTTTGATATCACCTAGGGTATGAGTTTATTAATAGCAAAATTAAATAGTGGTTATATACTAAATGTGAAAGCAATGTCAAAACACAAGTTAAAAGTATTTTACCCAGAAAGGATAGTGGCTTTCCACTGATATTTACATTTTAATAAGATATAAACTCTTCATTTATAGTTTGGATAGAAATATATGAAATGAATAATGTCTATACTATTCTAGAGTAAGCTATTAAGCCACTAAATTTGGGATGCAGATCAAAAGAAATTCATATTTGTATTAATGTTCAGACTCTTCCTTGGACTTTCTTTGTGAGATGTTCCAATTAAAGGAAATAAAGGTAGTCTCTTACATTCTCATTCATTCAACCCTATCTAAAACAAAAACCCATCTTTGATTAGAATTTGTAAGCTTGGGAATTCAATGATATTTCTGGATTGATTAGCTTTTATGAATTTAATTTTATTCACTTTTTTTGTCATCAGATGCAACAAGGCCAAAAGACATGGAATGAAATGTGTTTGTGTAGATGCAAATATATATGTAACTCAAAAAACATAATTAATATAAATCTTATATTAAGACCTAATTTGTGCATATAGAGGGTGTTCCCCCAAAATTTAACCACACACTCTGAATAATTATAAAAGTTGTGTTTATTAAAATACATTTCATTTTCAAAATTGAGCTTTTAGCTGTTAAAGTGTATATACATTTTGGGGGGATACCCTGTATATTTAAACACACACACACACACACACACACACACGTTTAAAAATAATGTGTGTGTGCACATATGCACTTATAATCACAAGTACCGCAAAGAATCCAAAGGAATTTTTCATTCCAGGTTGAAGGTAGAGAAAGCCTACTTTTCATTGAATCTCATTGTCTGCACTAAAAGTAGTCAACAACATAGAAAAGGTACTCAACAAATGTTTGTGGAACAAATTTATGTATTAATGAATGTTTTGGAAAACAAGTAGCTAAAGGTTAAGAGCCTATGTCTTCACGATCTAACTTGTTCAGTTCTAAAAGCCTTTCCTTCAACATGGGCATTCTGCTTGATGAAGAGTTCCCTTGAAAACAGCCCAAGATTTACTAGCAGTGAACTGCCTCTAGCGGTTCTCATCTGGCCCTACATTTAGCACTCCAGTTCTACTGCACAGTGTATAGTAACCCAGGGAAGGGCAATGTTTAAACAAAATAAATGGTTTGGAAATACTAGCTACACATGTGCTTACCATGAGAGGGCATTGATGATATTGACTTACACAACAGTGTGCCTTCTGCTCGCCAATTTAGGAGCATCAGAAACTGCATGCCTGAAGGCTAGTTGGATGAAGGTAGGTGTGATTCACAAAAAGGTTTTCTTAGCAAGCAGCACACTCGAAAAAATGCAGAATTGTGTGGATGGCATTTAATATATATATATATACTAGAGGTCCAGCACATGAAATTGTGCATGGGTAGGAGGCCTAGCCTTCGATCAGAGTCATCTTCTGCCCACTCACCAGTCCCCAGTCCTGCCCAGCCACCACCCACCCCAG